AAATATTGTTTGTCTACAGTTTGTCGCCATTTTTCACTGAGCGTGAAAGCACTTGACAAGCATGGCATATGTTGAACAATAAACGCTTGACTTACAGCAGACACACATGATGGTTATTGAATGTCACAGACACACAGTGTTTTACTAATCAACTATAAAATAATCTGTCTTGAAGCTTTGCTGTTTTCAGTGTCTGAGCTAAAATGGATCCTTTGACATTGAAAAACCAGTATATTTTACAGTATCACAATAAAATGCCCCATGTTTTATGAACATGTACTTGTATAGGAAGGTGAAAAGGGCTATGAAGAACTTTTAAATTCAATATCTCTAGTTTTTGCTTTTGATTACTGTTCAAAAAATAAAGAACACTTGGGTTTTATCAGTAGGTTAGAGTTCCTCCTACCGCAGTAAGTGTAAATGAGCTTGGAGTCGATGAAGCGGACTTTGAGATTGTGGAGCACAGCTGGCTCGTGGAGGTAGCTGAGCGCTGTGAGGTCATTTTCTCCAACCAGGATGTCGGGGTTTCGCAGGTAAGGCAGGTTCTTGGTCTTGGGGTCAAGCGTGTGCTCAATGTTCTGAGGATAAGCCAAAGCGATGCAGGAGAGTTATGACAGAGATACAGATCCACACACATATTCTCAGTAACATCATGAGATAGGCTACTGATTTCTCCCGCAGCTTAAAAAGCCCATTCGTTGTTCAAGGCTGTGTTGAACTGACTGTGCTTTCGTTCCACTGTCTCGGTGGAAATTTTAGCTTACATGCCTCATGTGCATTTTTATGCCTTGTCCTAATAAATGGATCTTTTTATCCGCCTAATGACTGTTTAAAAAGCAAATTTGATCTGTGACAGTAAGTCTCCCAGCATTAGGAAGGGATCATATGATTGGTTAATTTTGTTGTTTTGATCAGCAGCAGCTATCCCACAATTTTAATCTGCACATGGATCTGGAAAAGGCATCAAAGTCCACATTTAAAGATATGGTGCAGTATACATAGAAAAGTGCAATAACATGCAATAAATGGTTATTTTGCAATGCAAAGAATTTATTTTTAGGGGGAGATTGTGAGAATGTATTTGTCCTAGTCCTCGATGTGATAGTTAGCTACAATACTGAACCTTATCCAATTTGAATCTAATAGGCCTGTATGATAGGGCCAAAACTTATAACATGATAGAGATGAAAATTTGATATTGATAAAAACCACGATAAATGTCACTTCATTATTTCTTTTTATGTTTAAAGACGTTTAAAGATGTTCATTGTTCCTGAGTGTCGGGTGTGGTTTTAAACTCTTCATTACAGACACTTAAAAGCTAAACAAAAATCTGAGGTAGATCAATTGCGTGTTATACCTCCTCACTGTGCACAATTCATGAGCAATATATCAAGATATATTGAACGTGTGTTATATTGCCTTTCATGAAAATTATATTGAAATAATTATTGTTATAGTTTTATTGCCCAGCCCTATATCCTTGATCCTCAACTGACCTGGTCTGTTCTTAAGCTAATGTCACTTTTCAACAGATTCTACTGTAAACTAGCATTAAACGCCAATCGCCAAACATATCCATCCAAGCACGGCTGCTACGAGCCGCTAGATGCATATACAGGATGTGATTCCAAGATGTAAGAAATACATGCTGGAAGCTGTTTGTATTTGTATGTAACCATATGATGAGGAATTAAATCCACTTTTTTACATTTAAAATGCTCCCTGCGGTGTCTTTGTAACCAGGTCCCGTTTGTGGAAAGTGCTAATGGTGAAACCATTAGCAGCTAATGAGATGAAGGGCTTTGAAGTGTCTTTGAGGCATAGAGAGAGAGAAAGCGACAAAAAGAGCTGAGAGGAAGAAAAAAGCATAAAGAAGGAGAAAGCGATTCCTCCCCCCTTATAGCAAATTCAGGTGATGTTGGGGTGATGGGATAGATTTGCATGAATGTCCGTCAGGACAACGAGTTGTAAAGTCTGCAAAAATGTTAAACCAAGTTGTTGACTTCTTGTACGGAGAAACATGTGGACAAAAGTTAATGTTAGAAACTTTTGATTAATGTGCAAATTAATGTATTGCATGATTTGTTGGCAACATTTAATTTGTGAAACAGTATTTGGTTGTAATCGAAAGCTAAACTATTAGAACTAAATCAGATAAAAAGTGAGGTAAAACAATATTTTACTGGAAACAGGTATAAATAAACCTGTAAGTCAAATACGCAGTTTTGTTGTAGCGTCCATGTTGTTTCCACATTTCAACTGACATGGACTTGACTACTCTGGAAATTATAACATCCAAGTAGCGCCTGAATGCAGCATAAATCTTTCAATGATTCTCACCGTTCCATCTTCCAGCATGAGCTGCAGGGAGGCATCGCCATTTTTGTAGTCCTTGGTGAGCTCTGCAGACTTCCACACATCCTCTGCATCTGGGATCCACACCCGAGCACTCTGAGAGAGGGGGGGATAACAATAATTTGATAAAAACGTAATACAGGACTTAAATATAAATAAATATATATATAAATAAAACTATCCTAAGATCCATGAGCGCTGGCATTTTACATTCCCAATAGAAATAATTGTTCTTGTTTTGGCTCAGTTTATATTGCACACACAATCCCAGGTTACTACCTCCTTCACATAAAAAGAAGATAGACAGGACAGTTGCTCGTACTTCTTTCCTGACCTCAGTGAAAACAGTGGGTTCTGTGTTTCCACAATCATGAGAACATGGCTTGTAATGGTCAAGTGTGGTGAAGTTGTGGGAATGAAATGTCGAAGAAGCAGCTCATCGCAACGGATGAATGGTGTTGTGGATCATAACTCAAAATTGACACACACACACAAACCAACACGCAACAACACTATCATTATAAGACTTAAGGTCATTGAGGACTTGTGACTGGAGGTAATCAGCCGATCACGGACATGTGGAAAACCAGCGATGAACACTGCCGGTCACATGGCTGAGGAATCCGCCTCATAAATGTAGACAAATGCACAGACAGACAGATGCACTAACAGAGTGCTTTCCTCTAAAAATATAGCAGTTGACTCTATAGTGACTGAAGAATTATGCAAACCACAATGTGACCTTAGAAAGTCCTGCAATGATGTTGGTGTGTGTGTGTGTGTGTGTGTGTGTGTGTGTGTGTGTGTGTGTGTGTGTGTGTGTGTGTGTGTGTGTGTGTGTGTGT